TCTCTCTCTCTCTCTCTGAGAAACACAGCGTTTAGGTCTAAAAAAAAAACAAGGTTTTCGGAGAAGTGATTTTATAGATTTTCTATTTTTCTTCCATACTGGTTGGATGTTTTACAAATTCTTCGGCATGTGCACGTGTGTGTGTGTGTGATTGTGTGTATGAGTGGCTGCCTGAGGGAGAAGCGAGTGAGAGAGGGAGGGAGAGAGAGAGAGAGGGAGAGAGAGGGAAAGAGAGGGAGGAGAGGAGGAGGGAGGGAGAGGAGGAGGGAGGGAGGAGGAGAGAGGGAGGAGGGAGAGGGAGGGAGGGAGGGAGGAGAGGAGGAGAGAGAGGAGGAGAGAGAGAGAGAGAGAGAGAGAGAGAGAGAGAGAGAGAGAGAGAGAGAGAGAGAGAGAGAGAGAGAGAGAGAGAGAGAGAGAGAGAGAGAGAGAGAGAAAGAGAGAGAGAGAGCGAGACATAGACAGAGAGAGAGAGAGATGAAAGTGTTTATATAAACGGCAAATACAGACATCAAAACACATTTCTATTTCATATATTGCTTTTGAACACACGCTCTCCTTCCTTTTTTTTCCTTTTGTACCAACCAGCAGTCACTTCAATTCACAACGTCAACAACGAAGCCAAAGAACCACGAAGCCTAAATGAGAACTTATGCAAAGCCAGGGAAGCTCTCCATTGCCTATAACCTGGTGGAATTTTCTTCAGGCTTCGTTATTCATCGAAGTAGCGAAACGATGAAGCCTTCGTATTTAGCCAATGATGTGAACACACACGCGTACACATACACACACGGACACGCTCGCATGTTGGTCCTCTCTCTCTCTCTCTCTCTCTGTGACATCTACACATCTCTCTATCTCACAAGCAGAGAGACAGCTTTACATTCTGTATATATCTCACAAGCAGAGAAACACACACGCACACACACACCACATACATACACACACACCACATACATACACACACACACACACCACATACATACACACACACCACATACACACACACACACACACATACACATACATACACAACACCACATACACACACACACTCACACACACACACATACACACACACACACACACACCACACACACCACATACATCACATAACACATACACACACACATATATTACACACACACACACAGCACACACACACACACACACCACATACATACACCACACCACATACACACACACACACACACACGCACATACACACACAGACTCACACACACGTACACACACCACACACACACACACACACACACCTGAATGTATACTGATAAAAAAACTAAGAAACGCAAGCAATCCACGCAAGGAAACTGCACAGAAACAAGTTTGCGAAACAGAATTACGTTCGAATTACAAGAACAAATCTGCTTATCTCAGGAGCTAAAGGCTGAGCCACAGAATGCCAAATGGAATGGAAAAAGAAGAGAAGGAAGGGTTATACAATTGTCTTAATGTAGAAGGAACTAACGCACATACATACGCATGCAAGCAAACACACACACACACACATACACACGTACGTACACACACACACACACACACACACACATACATACATACACACACACATACATGTACAGTATGTATGTCTGTGGGTATGTATGTATATATTTATGTATGTATGTAAGTATATCCGATTGAGACCATATGGCAAGTATGGTCTACAAGATTTCAAGGTCATATGGCGAAGAAACGAATTTGAATTTCGCGCTGCCTCTTTGTTTACGTTTGACCCACTCCCTGTGCAATCAGCTGGGGCGGTAAGAAACGAATTTGAATTTCGCGCCGCCTCTTTGTTTACGTTTGTGCAATCAGCTGGGGCGGTATTCACGATAAGTCTTTGACTGTTCTTTGCGATTTTGTCTGTGTTTTTCCCCGTGCCATATATCAACAATTATTGAGCCTATTCATATAATCTACTGTAATAAGACGATAATGTAAATAGTATATCTAAATGCGATGTGGTATCTCTACGATTATTATCATTGCATCAGCTGTAAAAGCGCCTTTGATAATTTATCAAAAGAGGACTCGAAGCTTTACTTTTTATTCCCCAAGTGGACTGATTTTCGACAAAGGAAAACTGCATAAGGACTGTGGATTTGTGTGAATATCGTTAAATTCACCTTGGCAATTTCACCTAGGACATTCTCTGTTGTATTTTGGTTTATTTCAAATTTTAAAGATTGTAGAATATTTTTAGGCTTACAGTGAGTAACTGCAAATGAGAAAATGGTTAAGGTTTACGATGGGACCGCACCGACTAGGAGAAAATCGAAGATCATAGCGTTGTTGGCGATGAAAAACTACATGCATTGCTATCAGAATTGATTTGCATAAGTGAACCTGTTCGGGTTAAATGAAGAAAAGTTGGCGCGTTGCAGCGAACCACTTAGCTGCGCCAGAACCTAACATGAACTGTTTTGGCGCATGTAGCTAGTGACGTCACGACGAATTTCTTATAAATGGACTAGTAAAATGTATTTCTGTATTCTAATTTATATGAAATTTTAACGAAAAACGCATTTTTCAAATGCTCATTTCTTAAATTAACGATGTGATCGATTTTACCATATACGTACCATATTTTCATTAGAAATACATGGTATATCCATACTTGCGCATCGCTGCCCTCTCCCGGCAAATTTGACAGTTCTGTTGTTACAGTTCTCGTTTGTTTCAAAGGTGAAGGTTGTTTACAGTGCTACTTGCGTTTCCGATTTTTTTCCAACTTTGCGGTGAAACCGATTTCTCACTGAAATCGTTACAGTATCGAGGATAACATGAAACTCAGTGAAATACAATAACCGTGTTCCAGTTGTAGAATTTCGTCTGCGGTTCGTCACTTCCCAACCACCGTCCCCTCAACGTTAAGGTAAACTCATTTTGTTTTTCTAAGTGTAGTCATTGGTGATATAGAGGCACCGGTAGGGAAGCTAGATAATCGGGAGGGGGTCCGCGAAATACGGCAATCGGGAGGGGGTCTGGGGGGCGTAGCTCCCGGGTTAGGAGTGTATTTTTTGTTCTTACGGCGATCCGACTGGTCGTTCGTGCGTTTAAGATGCGGTTCACTCGCTCGTTCGCGCAACACCGTATCGAATCATCTGTGGCCGAATCTTCTCTCGTGTTTTTACATTTTCCACTTTCTTTGTCATCTGAAATACTATCCTTGGCTCAGATTTTCAATTTCCCACATTCTTTTGCTTTTTAATATGCATGGTATGAACGAAATCACCCCCCCCCCAGACCCCCGATCCCGCACGGGATCCCCCCAACTTTGTTGGTGGGAGTCGGGGACTTCGTCTCTGACGGGTGCCGTCCTATCATAAATATTTACCTGTTCATAGTAAGAGTCTTGTGTTACCAAGATCCAAAAAAGTCAATATACGCGAGTCCTTTTTATCAACACGTTCCCATCAGAAATAATCCTGATGGACTAAAATAATTTGTACTAACAACTCACGTGTTAGATTTATAGAATTATGCGTTAAAGAGGCCTTACTTGATATATTAAAGCAGAATGACGGTTTACCAAACAGGGAAATAGGGATTTGAGACGTAGCAATCCTCTGATTTGTGAAAAGCATAGCTGAATGAACACGTCTTTCGACAGATATTTCATATCATCAGTGATAGAAAAAAAACTAAGAATATTTGATGTACAGAGAACTGGCAAAACGAAGATAAACATTTTGCTAGATTTAAAGATGAAAAAGGGATGCCTGAGCTTGGCTGAGGAGCAAGATATAATCGGTTCAAGACAGGGGTAACTGCTGTGGAGAATTTCACCCTTAAGAAAACTTGCATGTGGGTGGTCTTGTCTGCTCTGACATGGTTGCTCTGCTTGCAAATAGCAATTCGTTCTGTGCATGATGTGCATTTACTCATTATTTGCTTGAAACACCCTTGTTGTATTTCATGGAATTGCATATTTCTTTGCTTTTTTTTCAATTACTTGCAATTAATTTATCTTCTGTACTTGAAGTAATGAGCATTTCCTTGTTAATAGTTGCTCACAACTCTTTACTGAGCTGAAAGTGCATATTTATTTTTATTTTTTTTTCTGGAAAGAGATACTTTCCAATTGCTTGCAACTCCTTACTGTAAGTTGTTATTGCATAGCACTGTGCAAGAAATGTATTGCGCATTTTCTCTGTATTCCTGTCAGTTACGTGTCTTGGAACAGTCATAGCATTAATTCCATACCTCCGTTCTTTGCACATTTGCGAGAACACAGCATTTCTGTAAGCTCACGGAAACTGCTAGAAATAATTGTATCGTGATATTTATAACATGGGTGTGGACGTTCAGTATATTGTGACATTTTTGCCCGATAGATGAGTACAAATAAGCTCTTGATTTCCTTCTTCTATTATTCCTTTTGCGAGCATTACTATTATTTTATTTTATTCATTTTTTATCGCCAGCTGTCGTTGAGTTTATTGCAAGAAATATATATATTTTCCTGTTCTCATACTTTCTCTTTTGCCTCTTGCTCTCCTTCTCTCTCATTCTTTGTTTCTCTCCTCCCTTCCTGTGTCTCTCTCCCCCTCTCTCTCTCTTTGTCTCTGTCTGACTCTCTCTTTCTCATTGTGTCCCTCTCCTCTCTATTTCGATCTCTCCCTCCTCCTCCTTCTCTCTCTCTCTCTCTCTCTCTCTCTCTCTCCTCCCCCCCTTCCTCCCTCCCTCTCTTCTCCCTTCCTCCTTCCTCCCTCTCTCTCCCTTCCTCCTTCTCCTCTCTCTCTCTCTCTTTCTCTCTTCTCTCTCCTCCTCCCTTTCTCTCTCTCTTATTCCCTGCTCCCCCTTCTCTCTCTTCTATTTTTTTTCGTCTCGGGTTTTTGGACGTCTCCTTTGTGAACTTCCGCTATCAGGTCTCTCATTTTGTTAATGAAGTCTCGCACTATTCTTTTCCAGTCACTGCAAACGCTTATCATCCCCCTTTTCTCCAGGGTACGTTTCAAGATCAATATCAATTATCGTACATGTCGAGTGATTTATTTATTTTCTGTGATCCGGGTTGCTCTGATCTCTTCCGCCAAAACCCACATCGCATTGCAACTAAATCACTGCATCTATAATAAGTACATCGCATTGAATCCAGTTCTGTGAGAATCGTGAAACCAATTACTCCTTTTTTATTTCTTTAAATGAATGATTTTACTCTCTCCCCCTTTCGTTAATTTGGTCCCATTTATTTGTAATAGAGACCATTCAGACGCCAGGAATCCACAATTTCTTCTAATACTTGTGAATGCTGAGATGAACTCATACGTTCCAACAACTCATATTCCACAACTCAGGCAATCAGTTCCAACAACTCAGACATGTCAGACCCAACAACTCAGACATGGTCAGAACAATTCAGTTCCAACAACTAACAGTCAAACAACTCAGACATATTCCAAACAACTCAGACAGACAAAACATCCAACAATTCAGACATATTCCAACTCAGACATATTCCAACAACTCAGACATATTTCCATTTCAGAACACAACATGTTCCAACAACTCAGACATGTTCCAACAACTCAGACATATTCCAACAACTCAGACATACCAACAACTACATATTCATTCCAACAACTCAGACACTCAGACATTCCAACAACTCAGACATGTTCAACACTCAGACATTTCCAACAACTCAGACATATTCCAACAACACTATTCAAAACTCAGACATATTCCAACAAACTCCAAACAACTCAGACATATTCCAACAACTCAGACAAACAACTCAGACAACAACTCAGACATATGTTCAAACAACTCAGACATGTTCCAAAACTCAGACATATTCCAAACCGACATATTCCAACAACTCAGACATATTCCAACAACTCAGACATATTCCAACAACTCAGACACGTTCCAACAACTCCTCCAACAACTCAGACATATTCCAACAACTCAGACATGTTCCAACAACTCAGACATATTCCAACAACTCAGACGCAACAACTCAGACATTTCCAACCAGACATATTCACAAGACAACTCGGTTCAACAAGACCAACAGACATATTCCAACAACTCGACTCACATATTCCAACAACTCAGACATATTCCAACAACTCAACATGGACATATTCCAACAACTCAGACATATTCCAACAACTATTCCAACAACTCAGTCCAACAACTCAGACATGTTGTTCCACACAACAACTCAAGACATATTCCAACAACTCTCGGTTCCAACAACTCAGACATATTCCCAACAACTCAGACATATTCCAACAACTCCACATTCAGACATATTCCAACAACTCAGACATATTCCAACAACTCAGACATATTCCAACAACTTCCAACAACTCAGACATATTCCAACAACTCAGACATATTCCAACAACTCAGACATATTCCAACAACTCAGACATATTCCAACAACTCGACATATTCCAACAACTCAGAACATATTCCAACAACTCGGACATATTCCAACAACTCAGACATGTTCCAACAACTCAGACATACAACTCAGACATATTCCAAACAACTCAGACATATTCCAACAACTCCATTCCAACAACTCAGACATGTTCCAACAACTCAGACATATTCCAACAACTCAGACATATTCCAACAACTCAGACATCTCAGACAACTTCAGACATATTCAACTCAGACATGTTCCAACAACAGACATATTCCAACAACTCAGACCAACACTCAGACATGTTCCAACAACTCAGACATTCCAACAACTATTTCCAACAACTCAGACATGTTCCAAACCCAACATATTCAGACATATTCCAACAACTCAGACATATTCCAACAACTCAGACATATTCCATACCGTTTGGATCCAACGCTGGAGAGCAAGTGATTCGCTTCATATCGCCCTTTGAAGACTGATAATGAGACCTTCACCTGCCCGAGTACCATAGAGAGGAACTCAGCTGATAAAACAGACAGCAAAGGGAGAGATATTCATGATGATAATTCGGATCGTGGGGAGCCCTGACTGCGCTCTCGAAGGTAGCATGACGTGTTGTTTTCAAAACCTCTTCGTCGTTCTTGTAGGGGAGTCGTGGGGTATTCTCTGCCTCGTTCTTGTAGGCGGGTCGTGACGTATCCCTCTCCTCGTTCTTGTCAGTCATAACGTAATCTTCCTCGTTCTTGTAAGGGAGTCATAACGTATCCTCTCCCTCGTTCTTGTAGGCCATTCATAACGTATCCTCTCCGTCGTTCTTGTAAGGGAGTCATAACGTAAACAAACCTCTTACCCTTTTACACATCATACCCCTGCTTTCCTGATGCTAAAGGGACGCCGTGTGTGTCGTTTGTTCCGACATACATACGTATAATAAAGAATAAAAGAACTATTGTTAAGTTCTCAAGTAGTTTCTAATCCCTTTTCATGTGCAACCTCTTTGATGCCATTATTTCTTTCAAAGCTTTCAAGGTTGCTAACAAAAACACCATTCTTTGTACCAGAGTTGTTGTTTTTTTTCCAGTTGACATATTTACTTATTTTTAAGTTGAATTCATTTACTTGTTTTTTCCAGTTGACATATTTACTTGTTTTTCCAGTTGACATATTTACTTATTTTTTCAGTTGAATTATTTACTTGTTTTTTACAGTGTTGATTTTCTTATTATTCTTAATATCATTATCGATATAATTATGACTGTGAAATTGATGATAATGATACAAATCTTTAATATTTTATTTTCTTATTTTTATTAAATGCTTTTGTTATTTATTGCAAATATATTCATGAATTCATTATGGTTATTACAACATAGAAACAGGAAAATATCATAGTTGTGATCATTCTCTGAACATAATTAATGTAATCCTGTTATTTTGTTATTGTTATCATCTTTATCATTATTAGTAGTATATTATCATTACAATTCCTATTATTATTATTACTATATTATCATCATTATTATTATAGTTACTATTATCATCATTATCATTATTACTATTATTATCATTATTATTTTAGTTACTATTATTATCAGGATAATTATTACTATTATTATTATTATCATTATCATTACTACTTATTATCACCATTATCATTTTAATCCTCATTACCTCCATTATTATTGCTATTATCATTATTATCAATATTCTCCTTAAGAGTAAGTAAAGGTTTCGTTTTTCGTCACAATAACCCAAATCCACTGAATACAAAGGCTAAAATATCCATCATAATCAACTCAAAAATATCCAATATCCTTTCGCAGCAAAATTAATGCCCAAAAAATCCATCATTCTTATAATTTTTTTTCCCCCATAAATGGTATTTTAACGGCGCACTTTCTTCACCCCAGTCTTCTTGCCTTCTCGCTCACACCAGCTGATTCGGTCGATAATGCTCGGTAATAAGTCTTGGTTTATGCTCTTTAAACTTTTTTTTTTTTTTTTTTTTTTTTTTTTTTTTTCTTTCTTTTTTTGAAATTTGATATATGTGGCCACGTGGAGGTCGGATGAGTGTTGGAAATATGGTTTTACTTTTTTTTTTTTTTTTTTTTTTTTTTTTTTTGTGTTGGAATGGAGGTGTGTTCTGAGCTATCATTATGGAAAATGATTATGAAAAAATATTAAGAATAATAAAAAAAGTTGTATTCATTTACGTAAGTCCGACATTTCGCTGAATCTCAACATGATCCTGATAATAATAGTAACTAAAATAATAATGATAATAATAATAGTAATAATGATGATGGTGATAGTAACTATAAACATAATGATAATATAGTAATAATAATAATAGGAATTGTTATTAGTAACTATAATAATGATAATATAGTAATAATAATAATAATAGGAATTGTTATGATAATATACTAATAATAATGTCTAACATAAAAAAAATCAAGGTGACACGCAACAGAGCAGGAAAAAATGTTAATTGGTAAAAAAAAAAAAAAAAAAAAAAAGGGGGGGGGGGCATTCATTATACATCTTCCATTTTTGTTCCCTATGCTAAAATAAACGAGAGATTATCGCGTATTATCCCGCGGTGTTTTATCATCATTATTTAAAAGAAAAGAGAAAAAAGGATAAATTATATTATCAACGAAGATGCCAGGCCCATAGAAAACGGGATATATAATAATAACAATATTAAATATGATAACAATGATAATAAAAAGGATAAAATAGTAATACTTATAATAGTAACAATAACGTGATCATTATCATTTCTATTTTTATATACATCCTCTAATTATTTAGATATAAGATTAAAAATATCCATTCATGAAAAAAACACACACGCATTTCAAACAAATTCATCGTAAAAACATAATTTTCAAAGTAAAAACCAAAGTAAATTGACAAAAACATATAATGTCAAAGTAACAATGTAAAAAATAAATGTCAAAAAAACATAAAAAAGTAAAAACCAATTAAAAATAAAAAATAAAAAGTAAAAAATGCATGACAAAAAACATATAATTTTCAAAGTAAAAACCACTTAATGTGCAGTACCATTCTCATCCATCTACTCGACTGCTTTCCGGAATTGTGAATTTAATTAGGGAAGCAAACACTGAACACTCTAATGGATTGAGGGTTAGTGAGATTCTGCACAGAAAGACGGGGAAATCAGGGGGGCAGGAAGGCGGTAAAGGAGCGAGAGAGAGAGAAGAGAAAGAGAAAGAGAAAGAGAAAAAGAGAAGAGAGAGAAAGAGAAAGAGAAAGAGAGAGAGAGAGAGAGAGAGAGAGAGGAGAGAGAGAGAGAGAGAGAGAGAGAGAGAGAGAGAGAGAGAGAAGAGAGAAGGAGAGAGAGAAGAGAGAAAAGAGAGAGAGAGAGAGAGAGAGAGAGAGAGAGAGAGAGAGAGAGAGAGAGAGAGAAGAGAAGAAGAGAAGAAAGAAGAAAGAGAGAAAGAAAGGGAGATGGAAAACAACCACCAAGCGACAGGAGAGGAGGGAGGGAGGAGGGAGGGGGAGAAAGAGAGAGCGAGAGAGAGAGAGCGAGAGAGAGGAGCGAGAGAGAGAAGAGCGAGAGCGAGAGGGAGAGGGAAAGAAAGAGATGGAAACACATGAGTGAGAGAGAGAAGAGAGAAGAGAGAGGAGTGAGACTAAAGAGAAAGGAGAAACGGAATGAAACAGAGATTACTTTATTTGCATACAGACAGTTTCTGTAATTACACAATTATAGCATGAAAGGCTGAAAGCCTAAGAGAGACGATACCATAAGAAAAATAAAATAAAATAAAACGGGAAGAAAAAACATCATAATAAGAACCAACACTGAAACAGAATCAACCGCATGATTTCAGAACAAACAAAAAAAGTCGAATACACTTTTCCTCTTCTTTCTCTCCTTTCTCTTTCCTTTCCCTTTAAACACTTTCAAGCTCGGTTTCCTCCACTCGAAGCAGGCAGTCTGGTTATCCAATTCCCAAGCTTTTACACCCACGCAATGTCTCCCGGTAATATATTGCCACCGAGGAAAGCGAAGGTACCAAAGAGATCGGGATCTGGTTCGAAATCCGCGGGAATTGTTGCTTCAATTGCTTCGAAGCAGATCAAAGCATAGCAGAAAGGAGTTAAAAAAAAGGACACTCGGGTCAATAATCTGTAGTTCTGCTCTGGTGCTGTTGGGGGGAAAATTCAACATATTCTAAATCTGAACTGCGAGTGTAATTGTTATAATGCGAAGAACAAAGAACACAGATATAACCACAAATGACGCAGATATAACACAAACGAAAACAGCTGCATTAATTTCCAACGGAACATTTCACAATTCATTTACCTTCCCTCCCAAAGCAGCGACACATTATCAACTTCCATTTAAGCCTGAGGTAAGACCTGCATTATCACTGCAAAGGGACTTATTGCATACGAGCATAATGGCAATCTGTGTCTGCGTTGTGTCAATTGCATCACTCAGAGAATAACTCGTGTTGCTGTTTCGCGTCGGAGTCGAAAATCGTTTGAAGTGAATTCGAGTTAAATGCCATATTCCCGTGTTTCTTCGTATGCTTTGCTTAACACGTTATGCAAGGCAAATCATCGTGTCCTCAGTAGCCTTCCGTTGATCTTCAAAGTTCCTAGGGCAGAATCCATACTAAAAAAATACATTACTTACCATCCTTCGTGTTTCGTGTATTGCCTTTGTTTGTAAACAATGGACGCGTGGTTGGCTAGGCGTACACCACCTCTCTCTGGACTGAAGCGTCTGTGCGCTACTCGAGTACAAATATCACGTTCCAGACCGTTCCGTTGAAATTGTACACTTCGTAGCGCTACGAACTGCCAAAGGGAACGCAAGGTGCACTTCGAACTCCGCTGCGAATCAGGGTATCGACCTCCTTTGCGAAAACACCCTTTGTCTGTTTACGAAGTTCTTTGAAAGCTTGTGTTAGTAGCTAATCCGGTTGATGTGAAGGATTGCTACGTCTTCTAAGACAATATATTAGGACAGACTACAAATCAAAAGCCTTTGTTTAGTTCATTAGTTGTTCAGGTCTACCAGTATTATCCTTGGAAAGACTGAATTAAAAGTTCTTACAATGAAATAACGATATTCGATGTCACTTGATCTCGAAAGGTCGTGATTATAGCACACCTTGTGGTTTTGTTTCTATTCTTTATTGCTGTATCAAATCCCGCATTTATGAGAGACAGCATTAAGATTACAAGGATCATATTAAACGCCAGTGGAAGCCTTACATTAGGCTTAAACACCTAATATGTCGTAATTAATAGCGTTATGCATGAGATACGCCTGAGGTTGCTGACAGGTCGTTGAATTCTTGGTGATGTGGTGATGCGGTGGCTCATGACCTGCGCGTGACATGTGGGACTCTCCTTATGCTAGGATAGACCGTGCAAGAGGAAAAGAATATCACGAAGCT